ATCATAAGCCCTTGACAGAGGACTATGCTTAAAAGCCTCCAAAGAAGGAGCCTCCACCACACCTGGGGCAGAGAGTTCCACTGCTAAACAGCTCCAACAGTTAGGAAGTTCTTCCTGATTATCAGATGTAATGAGATGGCTATGAGATCTGTATGTCATTATAAACACTCAAGAGAGTGAAAATGTGGCAAATCTAATTCCAGGACTAACTACGGCATCATACTCTCATAGAATCATAGAATAATACAATCAAAGAGTTGGAAGAGACCTCATGGGCCATCCAGTCCAACCCCACTCTGCCAAGAAGCAGGAATATTGCATTCAAATCACCCCTGACAGATGGCCATCCAGCCTCTGTTTAAAAGCTTCCAAAGAAGGAGCCTCCACCACACTCCAGGGCAGAGAGTTCCACTGCTGAACGGCTCTCAGTCAGGAAGTTCTTCCTCATATTCAGATGGAATCTCCTCTCCTGTAGTTTGAAGCCATTGTTTTGTGTCCTAGTCTCCAGGGAAGCAGAAAACAAATGATGTCCTAAGGATTGCATTATTTTGTTATAGAGCAACTTGGGCCCTCCAGGTGTTTTGGACTACAACATGAGGAACTTCATTTAGGGGTCACAGCATTAGAAAGGTTGAGAGCCACTGATCTAGAGCAAACTTGCCCAACCAAACAAACTTTAAGCACTGATGGAGTTTTTTGGGTTAGCCTGGCATGATGTGAGTTGTAGTTCACCCACAACGTATTTTCAGTACGCTTTTGCTTTTAAAAAGCAGTAAGTTACTGTTTAAGCAACAAGCAACATTGTCTCCAGATTTAGAAAAAAAGGCAATTAATTGGTAACGAATTCCATCTAAAAAGCCAGATTTTGGACTCTGGACCGAGTAATTGAGAGTGAGGCTATTTCTCTCTGTCTGAACAGCAGGCCAAATGCAAGGGCTTAGACCCTCCTGAAGGCCTCTGGAGCACAAAAGGAGACGGGCAGACCCCCAAATTGAGGGGAGGCAGAAATGGGGCCAAACGGATGCCAGGCAGCAATTCCAGGTAAGTCCTGTCAAGGTTGGGAGCGAAGTCTGGAAAGGACGGGAAGGTGGCTTCCCAAGAAAGAGAAATTGGCTAGGAATTAGGATGGTGGATCCAAGCCTTCATAGGGACCCCACATCATCTCCCCACCTTTCCTTCCCTTGCCCTTCCTCTGAAGAAAGGAAGGGAGGATGAGAAAAGATAATCCCTTTCCCTTCCTTCCTTTCCACTTTCCCTCCCTTTCCCTTTCTTCTCTTGCTTTCCTTTTCCCTTCCCTCCCTGTCCCTTTCCTTCCCTCTGAGGAAGCCTGCCACAGATGCAGGCAAAACGTCAGGAGACAATGCTTCTAGGACATGGTCATATAGTCCGAAAAACCTACAACAACCCAACAGGATCGTAGATAAACATTACTAAAGAAGGCTTGAAAAAGTTAGTCACTTCCAACATTCCCTTCCCTCCTTTTTCCTTTCTCTCCCTCCCTCCCCCTTCTATCCTTTCCTTCCTTTCCCTCCCCACTTTCTCTTTCTCCCTTTCCCTTTCTTCCCCTTCTTTTTCCTTCCCTCTCTTTCTTCTCTTCCCCTTCCCTTATTTTCTTTCCTCTCCCTTCCTTCCTTCTCTTCCCCTTCTTTCCCTTTCTCCCTTTCCTTCCTCCCCCTTCCTTCCTTCTTATTCTTCCTTTCCTTCCTTCCTTCCTTCCTTCTTCCTTCTTCCTTCCTTCCTTCCTTCTTCTTCCCTTCCTTTCTTCCCTTTCCTTCTCCTTTTTCTTCCCTTTCCTCCCCTCCTCCTCTTCCTTTCCTCCTTTCCCTCCCTTTCCCTCCTTCCTTTTCTCCCTCCCTCCTTTTCCCTTCCTTCCAATTTCTTCCCCTTCCTTCCATTCCATTCTCTTCCTCTCTTTCTTCCCTTCCTCTTCCTCCTTTTCCCTTTCTTTCCCTCCTTCCCTTTCTCTCCCTCCTTCTCCTTCTTCCTTTCCTTCCTTCCCCTCCCCTTTCTTTCTTCCCTTCTTTTCCTTCCTCCTTCCTCCCTCCCTTCCTTCTCTTCCTTCCTCCTTCCCTTCCTTCCTTCCCTTCCTTTCTTTCTCCTTTCTCCCCTTTCCCTCCTTCCTTTCTTCCTCCCTCCCCTTCCCTCCCTCCTTTCCCTTCCTTCCATTCTTCCCCTTCCTTCCTTCCATTCAATTTCCTTCCCCTTCCCTTCTTCCTCCCTCCCTTTCTTTCTCCCTTCCCGTCTTCCCCTTCCTTAATTTCCCTGCCTTTTTTCTGCCTTCCCCTCTTCCCTTCTTTCCTTCCCTTCCCCTTTCCTCCCTTTCCTTTTTCCCCTTCCCCTTCCTTCTTCTTCCTTCCCCCTTCCCCTTTCTTCTTCCATTCCCCTTCCTTCCTCTCTTCCCTTCCTTCCTTTCTTCCCCTTCCCTTTCCCTCCCTTCTTCCCTTCTTTTTCCTTCCTTCCTTTACTTCTTCCCTCTCCCTCCCTTCTTCCCTTTCTTTTTCCTTCCTTCTTCCCTTCCCTTTCCTTTATCCTTCCTTCTTGCCTTCCTTTCCTCCCTTCCCTTCCTTCTTCCTTCCTTCTTCTTTTCCTTCCTTCCATTCTACCTCCTTTCTTCCCTTCCTTTCCCTTTCTTTCCTTTCAATTTCTTCCCCTTCCTTCCATTCCATTCCCTTCCCCTTCCCTCCCTTTCCCTGGCTTCCCTTTCCTTCATTTCCTTGCCTTTTTTCCTCCCTTTCCCTGTCTGGCCCTTCCTTTTCCTTCCCTTCCCCTTCCCTCACTTCCATTCCCTTCGCTTCCCCTCCCTGTCTTCCCTTTCCCTTCCTTCCTCCCTCTCCCTCTCCCTCTTGCTTGGCCAGGCGGGGCTGCGTGCCTTGAGGGGCCCGCCAGGTGTCGCTGTGGCGCCCCTCCTCCTCCTCCTCCTCCTCCTCGTCCTCGAGGCCTGCACGCTTTTCCGGCCGCCGTTTGCCGTTGCTGCCGCTTCTTCTCCTTCTCGTTCCGTCCTCCTTCCCGCCTTCCCTCCTCCCTCCCTCTTTCCTTCCGCCATGGAGGCGAGCAACGCCGCCTTCAGCAACCACAGCAGCCCCGGACGAGGCGCCTGCATCGTGGTGAGTGAGTCAGAGAGACAGAGAGAGAGAGGCATCCCCCTTGCCATAGACATATATATATTCCCATTCTTTTCAAGGGGAAGAAGCCAGCACCTTAGATTTACCCCTTTAAATAAAGAATAGGGGGGCCCACCTTCCCCTTCCTTAAAAGGGCCACGAATCATTTGAAAGGGGGGGAGGGAATTTAGGGGTGCTTGACAACCCCCTTCTAATAATAGTGGGGTCTGTATTACTTCCATTGAAGGGATAAATAATAGGAAGTGAAGTAATAAGATTAATAAGTAATAATAAATAAATAATAATAAATAAGAAACTAATGAGACTAATAATAACAATAATAAATAAGAAAGAATAAGAAAGAATTAAACTAAATAATAGTAATAATAATAATAATAATAATAATTAAATAATTAAGTAATAAATAATAGGAAGTGAATTAATAAGATTAATAAGTAATAATAAATAAATAAGACAAATAAGACAATAATAATACTAATAAATAAACAAATAAGAAAGAATTTAAGAAATGAAGTAATAAGAAATAATAAAAATAACTAAATAAATAATAAAAAATAATAATAACTAAATAATAAGTAATAATAAAAATAATAACCAAATAGTAATAATAATAATAATAAGAAGAAGAAGAAATAAAAAAACTAAATAACAATAATAATAATAATTAAATAGTAACAATAAATAATAAGTAATAAGAAATAATAAAAATAATAAGACAAATAATAATACTAATAAATAAACAAGTAAGAAAGAATTAAAAAATGAAATAATAAGAAATAATAAAAATAACTGAATAAATAGTAATAAATAATAATAACTAAATAATAAGTCATAAGAAATAATAAAAATAATAACTAAATAATAGTAATAATAATAATTAAATAATAATAATAAGAAATAAGAAATAAAAAACTAAATAATAGTAATAATAAAAAATAATAATAAATAATAAGTAATAAATAATAAAAATAATAAGTAATAAGAAATAATAAAAATAACTAAATAAGAAATAATAATAGAGGGGTTTGTATTACTTACATTGAAGTGATAAATAATAGGAAATGAAGTAATAAGATTAATAAGTAATAATAAATAATAAATAAGAAACAAATACAATAAATAATAATAATACTAATAAATAAGAAAGAATTAAGAAATGAAGTAAAGAATAATAAGTAATAAGAAATAATAAAAATAATAACTAGATAAGAAATAATAATAGTGGTGTCTGTATTACAGTGAAGTAATAAATAATAGGAAATGAAGTAATAAGATTAATAAGTAATAATAAATAAATAAGAAACAAGAAACAAATAAGACAAATAATAATAATAATACTAATAAATAAGAAACAAATAAGAAAGAATAAGAAATGGAGTAATAAGAATAATAAGTAATAAGAAATAATAAAAAGAATAACTAAATAAATAATAATAAAGGGGTTTGTATTACTTACATTGAAGTAATAATAGGAAATGAATTAATAAGATTAATAAATAACAATAAATAAATAAGAAACAAATAAGATAAATAATAATAATACTAATAAATAAGAAAGAATAAGAAATGAAGTAATAAGAATAATAAGTAATAAGACAATTATAAAAAGAATAACTAAATAGGAAATAATAATAGTGAGGTCTGTATTACTTACATTGAAGTAATAAATAATAGGAAATGAAGTAATAAGATTAATAAGTAATAAATAAATAAGAAATAGAAACGAATAAGACAAATAATAATAATACTAATAAATAAGAAACAAGAAAGAATAAGAAATGAAGTAATAAGAATAATAAGAAATAAATAAATAAATAACTAAATAAGAAATAATGAATAAGAATAATAAATAAATAATAAGAAATAAGAAATGAAGTAATAATAAATAAAGAATAAATGATGTAATAAATAATAAGAAATTAAATTGCAAGTTTTTAAGGAAGCCCTTAAAAAGGTAGGGGATTGTTTCCCCTTTAAAGAAAAGAATAGAGGGGCCCACCTTCCCCTTCTTAAAAGGGCAAGGGATACTTTGCAAAAAAAAAAAGAGGGAGCATTAGGGGGTGATGGCTTCCCCTTTCAAAAAATGGGGCTCAGTATTATAGAAAAGGGGGGAGGGATATGGGGTGATGTTTTTCCCCCTTTCACTTCATATTCCTTTCTTTTCCCATAACACTGGCCCTTTAAAAAAATGGGGGTCTCTGCCTTCCCACTCTTAAAGGGGTAAATGATATCCTAAGGATTGCATTATTTTGTTACAGAGCAACTTGGGCCCTCCAGGTGTTTTGGACTGCAACTCCCACAATTCCTAACAGCTTAAGCGGCTGAGTGGGAAAGGGAAAGGGCCTGAGGCTGTTAGGAATTGTGGGAGTTGCAGTTGGTCCACGCCTGTTATATAGTATAAAGATTCAGATGGTCCTCTGAGCATACGCAGAGGGCTTTCCTATCCTTGCCTTTCCCTCCCTGTCCTCAAATGACCTCCTTCCATGCTGAGCGTGATTTTTTGTTGTTGTTGTGGTTGTCTAGGTTTTTAAATGCTTGTATGTGATTGTTTTATTGTTTATTTTTGTTTTGAGATTTATTTTACTGTTTTGTGTTGATTATTTTGTTATTGCCGTTGTTTTATTGATGTGTTGTTGGGGTTGGCCTCCTGTAAGCCGCACCGAGTCCCTTGGGGAGATGGTAGCGGGGTACAAATAAAGTATTATTATATTATTATTATTATTATTATTATTATTATTATTATTATTATTATTGGGTTTTTGGAGCTGATGAGAGATCCCAAACCTGGGCTCTAGTCTTATGATGCTCAAGACATGACCAGACTATTTGTAGGAGTTTGATCAGTGACTTGGGGTAAAACACACACACACAAGGGTGGGTCAAAAAGTGTTGCCTCCTGTGTCATAAAAACATTATGAATGAACTTATAACAGCAGAAGTTGCTCCAGGTCGTAGCCTGAACTATCCTTTATGCAAAACTACCCTTCAACGTGGTCACCATCAATTTGTGTACATTTGTGCCATCGTTGAACCCAGGCATCACAACCCTTTTGGAAAAATTCAGGGTTTTCCTTTGTGACTCCATTAATGCCATTCACGTCATTGAATCTGAAGCCTTGTCGGTTGTCTTTTCAGAGGTCCAAACAGGTCAAAGTCAGAAGGGGCCAAATCATAAACATAAGTGATTATGGGTTTCCTAATAATAATAATAATAATAATAATAATACTTTATTTGTACCTCGCTACCATCTCCCCAAGGGACTCGGTGCGGCTTACATGAGGCCAAGCCCGCAGTACATCAATAAACAAAGGCAATAACAAATAATCAATACAAAACAGTTATTTATTTATTGTGTCAGGGCAACCAGTCAATTATATCACATTTCTAACAGAACAAAGCAAACAAACAGACAAAATACAAAATTTGTGTGTTTGGTAGTTGATTAAATGTCCTTTGACCACTATCTGGCCACTTGGAGTGCCTCTGGTGTTGCCGCAAGGAGGTCCTCCATTGTGCATGTGGCAGGGCTCAGGTTGCATTGCAGCAGGTGGTCAGTGGTTTGCTCTTCTCCACACTCACATGTCGTGGATTCAACTTTGTAGCCCCATTTCTTCTAATATATGTAATTTCTTTATGCTTTTGTTGATGTAGAGATTGTCTGGTTGGCCTACTTTGGAGCATGCAACATAGAATTGTCCTTCTTTAGGGGTCCCTTTCAAATCTAGGATACTATATCTGTGTGTGTGTGAGTCATATAGATCTCTCTATATCTATGGCTGGATGGCTCTTTGTTAGGAGGGCTTTGATTACATTTTCTTGCCCTGGTGAAGGGAGTTGGACTGGGTGGCCTTTTTTCTGTTGGTGTGGTAGGTTTGTCCCAATTCTGTTGTTAGTGGGTTTCAGAATGCTCTTTGATTGTAGGTGAACTATAAATCCCAGCAACTACAACTCCCAAATATCAAGGTCTATTTTCCCCAAACTCCATCTGTGTTTATATTTGGGCATATTGAGTATTGGTGCCAAGTTTGGTCCAGATCAATCATTGTTTGAGTCCTCAGTGCCCTCTAGATGTAGGTGAACTACAATTCCAAAATTCAAGGTCAATGCCCACCAAATGCTTCCAGTATTTTCTGTTGGTCATGGGAGTTCTGTGTGCCAAGTTTGGTTCCATTCCATCGTTGTTGGAGTTCAGAATGCTCTTTGATTATAGGTGAACTATAAATCCCAGCAACTACAACTCTCAAATGACGCACACCCCATCCCCCTCTAATTACTTATCCTTCTCGCCTTGTCATGCCCAGCACTTTTTAAAAATTTTAACTACTACATTTGGCCCTGCCACAGATTTTAATGCGTTGTGATGTTTTGTTAATGTTTATTGCTTTGTTTTATGAGTTCATTTATTTTGCTTTATTGTTGTTGTTGTTTTCTTGATGTATTCGGGCTCGGCCTCTTGTAAGCTGCACCGAGTCCTTCGGGAGATGGTAGTGGGGTACAAATAGAGAATTATAATTATAATTATTATTATTAATGACAAAATCATAATTTTTTGAGTGATGGTCACTCCTTGTGTTGTGAGATGTTTTGTTGCCAAATTTGGTGTGATTTCGTTCATTGGTTCTTTTGTTTTTAAGGTACTCATTATGCACAGATATATATATTTACATATATAGATTGGTAAATAAACAAAAACGTTAAAACCAAACTTATTAAAAAATATATACCTCCTCAAAATGGAAATGCAACAAGATACATTATAAATACCTTTTTGAGAGGCAAGAGCTTGTGGATACAATTTGAAGGATTTGGTTAGGTTTGTTTTAGAAGAAAGGATGTTACTGGTTTGCGGGAACATGGCCATTCAGCCCAGAAAACTCGCAGCAACCCATTGACAATATGACCGAGGCTTTGAGTGTTGTCTGAAAGGCTTTCCTTTGAGCCTTGTGTCTCATAACCCTGAGGTTTGGCAGTTGAGTGCAAA